CTGTGACTATAAGGTTAAGATCTATGTGAAAATGCTTATGTCCATTTCAATTGTGAATGATGAGTGTACATCTATGCTTACTTATATAAATCACTTAAAATTTTCCATTTTATCTCCTTCTATTCTGTTCATGTATACGTGAAATGGTATGTGATGAGGATTAGTTTGAGTAGACATGCTTACTTCCCAGTTTTCGGCCACAATCGAGTGGTCTAATACTCTAATTCAAGTTGTAGTTATGTTATTTTAGTTTAGAACGATTATTTGCGATGTAATTTAGTTATAAGCGTAGTTTGGAGTCCATGAGTGTAAGCTTAAGTAGGTCCGAATAAGTGTCAAAGTAGTCTAATTCACCTGCAGTTTATGCGTGTGATAAAGTTGTATTTCCTAGTTTAATTTAGGTTAGGAGTCAGATGTTAAGCCTGCAAACTAGGTCTCCTAGTTAGTTTAGGATATTATTGCTTCCACTATTGTACTATATATATTCATGCTTAAATCAGTAGGAGAAGCAGAGGGTTTTTTCATATTTGGCTTAAAAACGTGAGTTCTAGGTCCTCTATTCTTCTAGCAGATAACTCATCAAGGTCATCTTCCATAAGGTCATACATTCACTCCATCCTCCACCCTTCATCCCCTCCTAATACCTCGGTTGCGCAGCTCACCAGAACAGATTGAAAACCCTCATACAATGGGTTCAACCACATTTTACTATATACGCCTCAACTATCATCAAGAAAATTGCAGTGAACACCACCAAAAAATAACAGAGAGAAGAGGAAACAATTTTTTTTGGCATAAACAGAACATTTATCAATTACTCAATTCAATGCACCTTCCAGCATCCGCCGCGTCATAATGAGGCATATATAGTAAAATGTGGTTGAACCCATTGTCTCCACTCTTATCCAGCAACACTTCCACCTTTATTCTTTGACTTTCGACTGACTTCTCATTCTAAAGATAATTCAATCAACAAAAACTCCAATCTCAACTTAAAATTCAATCAACTGACCTCGTCGAGCAACGATCAATATCAACGAGGTAAGGAGAAGAAGAACAAGAAGAAAGATGGTGGAGACTACAACGACATCGATTTAGAGCTTTGATTAGGGTATGATCGATGATTAATATACAAATGTAGAGACATATATATCATACTATAAGGTGTGCATGTTACTCATGATATGAATTCAGAAATTAGAAAGATAAAAAATGCGATGTGATACATGTGTTGAACTGATTAATACTATCACATTTTATGCAAACTCGAGCATTGCTTTGAATTAATGGCATCAAGCAATTTTTATTTCCGGGCGAAAAAAATTAAAAAAAATTCCAAAAATTTAAGTCTAATATCCACGCTTTTTGAGAAATTTTTGAAAATTTTATTTCGGGGTTTGGGTTGGGTTACATTCGGTTCTGGTTAACAATAGGTCGGGTTTAATCCTAGTTTTCACGGGTTAAAACGGGTTAGGATAATTCTCGGGTCCGAGTCGGGTTCGGTTCAAGTCAATAGATTGCGGGTTATAATCAGGTCGGGTTTTAGTCGGGTTGGGTTCAAGTTAATTATTTGCGGGTTATAATCAGGTCGGGTCATTTTCAAGTCCGATATTCTTGGGTTCAATTCGGGTTCAGTGCAAGTCAATAATTTGCGAGTTATAATCAGGTTGGGTCATTCTCGGATTCAAGTCGGGTTATGTTCAAGTCAATAATTTGCAAGTTACAATCAAGTCTGGTCATTTCCAAGTGAGGTCATATTCGGGTTCAACTAACTATAAATAGATAATTATCATTTTTATCAAGCTAATTATTTTCTTTGACTATAATATACATGGAAATATATTAGGGAACTATAGTCTATAATTTAGGAAGATAACTATCTCCTTTGACCATAAATCAAACATATACTATATTTAGCTCTTAAATTTGAGGATGATGCTCCTATCTTTTGCAGGCCTGGACCGACTTGGTCTCCCTACACAAAATACTTTGATCAACAATAATAAGGTGGTCTAAATTGCATTTAAGGTGATTTGAAATCGAATCAGGAATAATTTGGGTTGAATTTAGGTCGGATCAATAACAACTCGTTTTGATTTCGAGTCGGGTAAGTAACAGATCATGTTGAATTTTTTAGTTGGGTTAGTAATAGGTCTAGTAAAATTCGGGTCGGGTCAATAACAAGTCGGGTTGATTTCAGGTCGGGTTCGTAACAGGTTGGGTTATATTCGGATCGGGTTAGGAACGGGTCGGGTTGAATTTAGGTCAGGTTAGTAACAAGTCGGGTTAAAACGGGTTTGGGTCAATTTCGTTTCAAGTCGGGTTCGGTTCAGGTCAATAATTTACGGGTTACAATCGAGTCAGGTCAGTTCATGTTTGGTTCGGATCTCACATACTCGGGTCTAGGGTTGGTTTCAGGTTGGGTTTGGGTCACCATTTTTTCGAGTTCAAATGGGTCGGTTAATAATTGGGTTAAAGTCGGTATTTCGGGTCGGGGCAACTTTTAACAGCTCTACTATCATGCTACATTAAATTCAATTCATTTTCTGTGTATAGGAAAATTGATTCAGCTTCATGTCCAGTTTCCTTATGCTCAATTGTTTTACTTCGTAATTTCGTATGATATCGTTTAGCTAGTAGCTAGCTCATCCGTCTCTAAAAGTTTTTTAAAAGGTAGAGAAACTAAAGTCTTCATTCAAACAAATAAATAAATTACAGGGAAAAAAAATATGAAGAACAGTAAAATAGAAAGAAAATTATTTATTGACAGAAACACTGAATTGGAAGAAGCAACACAATTTCTGTAGAAATTCTCAACAAAAACGTTATCTACCGATAGCAACCCACCTTGGACGTTGATTCTGTTCAACATATTCCAGAGTCAACTGAAAATTCCCTGGTTGAATACTGAATAGCAATAGCAATAGCAAAATTCTGACAAAACATGAATAAGCAAAAGCACGTTCATTACTTTGATGAATAACAGTACATTACTGAGATTATACATCTTTCTCATATAAACTTATTTATACACCTAATCAATCACTTCTTTAAGCAATACATGTCTTCATGAGCTACTGTTCTGTATGCGCAGCTAGTTGTGCTGATTTGTAGCAGAGCCTCCTGTCTGAGACAAACCTGGTGTATAGCCTCACGCATATGGATAAGGACCAGAGTATCCCTGTGATGATTGGCCTTCACCATACCCACTCCTGAAGGGTGCATATGGAGGAACGATGGGATATTGGGATGTGTATGGTGAGACGACAAAATAGGGTTGAGGTTGAGATTGATAATATGGATACCCTGGTGTAAACCCACCCCATCCAATGTCTCCTCCAAAATCAATAGGCCCTAAAGTAAAATGGAATGAACCATCTCCACCTGGAATGATGGGAATCAATCCTACTGCCAAGGACCTGGGTTGGATATTCAGTCTCCCATTTCCACCCTCAGTCTTGTAATTAATACTCCGTCTCGCATCAGTTTGTGAGGCCTCAAAAATTTTATTCTTCCCACCTATGCCATTTTTCAGTGGAGAAGGAAGTGGTACAGAGGCCTCATCATAAATAGTCTGACTTACATCAGTTTGTGAGGCCTCGCCAATTTCCTTCTTTCCACCTACGCCATAATTCAGTGGAGGAAGTGGTACGGAGGCCTCATCAGAAATACCCTGACTTACATCAATATGTGAGGCCTCGCTAATTTTCTTCTTTCCACCTACGCCATAATTCAGAGGAGGAAGTGGTACAGAGGCCTCATCATAAATTACATCAATTTGTGAGGCCTCGCTAATTTTATTCTTTCCACCTCCCCCAGTACTCAGCGGAGAAGGAAGTGGTACAGAGACCTCAGCATTGATATTCTCACTCACATCACCTCCATCCGGACCTTTTGAAGGAGCTAGTAGTTCACCCTCAACATTTTCAAAAACAGCAGGCCTACGAGCAGAAACAAAGACGGTCATTAAAATGAGAGCAAGACATAGCAAGTATGATCTACAAGTCATAACTGCTACCTCTGATAACATACATAAAGGTTTACACGTATTTTCAAGTTATATAAGAAGAAAAACAACTGTATGATCATTTCAGCAGTCATCTTCTCACAAGGAAAGAATTTTGCATGAAATGAGACATAAAAACGGTCAACAACTTGTTCACTTCTTAAATTTCATGTTTGTACTATTGTATAAAATAACAAGATCCTGACTCACGAATTATGCATGATAATGTATCAACTATCAAGGGCTTTCAGAGTTTCAGCTGAATACTAGACGCTACAGCACTCCAAAGACCAAATGCGTGAAAAATTTAAAATATATATAGTGTTCAACCTGGCATTCTGTAATAAATAACAATTACAGCCTTACAACAATCCAAAGACCAAATCGTCCGCTCTGTAGACTGTAGTAGCAGACACTTCTGGGTAGTTGCTCCTGAGGCAACCAATATGTATACAGATTACAATTATTAACATCGTACTAAGCCAAATTGACAGTGTCAAGAGTCTAACAAAACAGGCACACTATTGCGCATACCATAACAGTGAACATTCTCAACGGTTACCATTGGAAGGTGAAGTCTGGTTTAATCTAGAAAGGAGTCATGACATCAATCAATCATCGCCAAAGGACAGCAAAATTAAGCACACAAGGGAACGGTGAAGTCTGGTTTAATCTAGAAAGGAGTCATGACATCGATCAATCATCGCCAAGGGACAGCAAAATTAAGCACACAAGGGAACGCCGGAACAAAACGGGTAAGAACTGGTGCAGCACCATTCAGCAGTAGAATATGGTACAGCTAACACGAAAAGTACAGAATCTGTAGCATGGAGCCAAAGCCTTTCCAATTTCAGGTGATTGTACTTTACTAGGTAAGGTGGAAAATGAAAATATGCGATTATAATACAAAAACGTGAGTAGCTATGTCCTTAATGTAATATCTAACCGTATTAACACAATCAAGCATTTTATGCCAGTAAAACAAGCAGTAAGGTTCCACACAGCAAATATCCTTTTATATATCATTATCATAATATAGTACATAGGTACAAAGCTTAGTCGCTCATTCAGAACAAACATATTACAAGTTACAAGATATGCATAATAATATGCTTGAGAACATCTCATACATTTCCCCACAACACAGTTATAAAAACCATACCTAGACTGTTTATGTACGACCTTGGCATGTCTAGTAATCATCTCACAAGTTGTTCCTCCTTCAACTTTTTTGGAGAATCAAAGACGCTGCTAGACACTCGAAGGTTACCAAGCAAAGCATCACGTCCACTCAACACTATTTGAAAAAACCCATCCACTTCCTTCGCCAAAAGATCTAATCCTGATGAAAGTTTGTCCGCTCTTGTCCCTAATTCCACAACAGAATTCTGAAACAATTCAATTTTCAAAGGCTTTGTACCTTCTTGAATCATGGGATAAATTTCCCCAACAATTGTATCAACTGCTTCCAACTCTTTCAAAAGAACATTCCTACCACTTGAAACTAAATTTCTAATCTCCCTGTACACAAACATCTGGAGATCATTATATGCTTCTGCCCACATGTGTGTACCAGCAACTTGCAAGTCTACTAATTTTTTATCAGAGCCTGTGAAAGCAGAGATAAATGCACCGCAGACAAACAAAGTGTGCACCTTGACTCCATACATAGCACGCATCAAAGCCTTTCCTTTGGCTGAGTTCTTAACCTTGGGCAGCTCTAATGATTCCATCAACTTATCAATGATAGGGAAACAATTTTCAATTCTAGGGTTCTTAGTACCAATGTGATTTCTCCAACTATCAATTGAAGATTTTGCTTTCGAAATCTCACATGAACTGTTTTGGTCCAAATTACGCTGCAGGCAATGGAGCAGGAGCTGCCCTTGGCTAAGTCGTGACAGCTCAGAGCAGAGGGCAATACAAATATCCAGCAACTTCACACTGTTGTCCAAATAGACATCTATCCATTTATCATCCCAATCGACAACAGGAAGTTCAAGATCAGTTATCAGAGATTTGATATCATTATGCGTCTCAGAGAGCGACTGTATGGCTAATATCATCCAAGAAAAGCTGAAGATCTCGTCTTTGTGCTTTGGAACAAGTCTTCTGAGTCTTCCTGCCAAGGTATCCTCGAACTTATTCAGAAGCGCCTGTACCTTAGGGGAAAGATAAGAGCTCTTCGGAAGTATCATCCGAAAAGGGTTTCCATGTGGGAAGAATGGCCTGTGTGGTTCTTGTGGGCGACTCATTACTCTTTAAGCAACTGAAATAAACAAATAACAACAACAAAAAAGTATTCAGCAACCAAAACTTGGCAGATATTACAATCAACATCTTCTCAATGAAAATATAATCAATTACGAAAAATCTTCTTACAAAAAAGACATCAACAAAAATTAAGGTCTAAACACAAATTCTAAACATCTAATCATCAAAACCCCAAAACATCTAATTGGCACATGTTATAAACCCTCATCATTTAAACAACCATCAAATTAAAGAAAACTGTCTATTAAATACGCATACATCTAAGCAAAAATAAGTAGAAGCATAAAACATAGACTCACAACCTAAATATATTGATATAGCAAATACACAACACCAGAACATGGCACTTTAATTAATTAAGAAAAGACAGCAATTTTATTAATTTCTTCTTCAAAAGTTCAATTTAACCCCATTTTAAGCTCTAATCTTAACCTAAGATCTTCAAATTCAAACACAAGATCATCATCTACCCCTAATTATAAAGATCTGCTAAAGTCAACGAACAAAAACCCTAAACACAGAACAAATTCTCACAATTTCTTCTATTTCTCACTTCCAGAATCCAACACAAATTAAGAAACAAGTAAAAACAACAACTTTTTCCCCAAAATCAACAGTTAATTTCATTTTATACAACAAACCATATAGATCTAACATTAACACAACCAAAATGAACAGATCTACAACAAAATCCAACAGTTCATCACATATTCAACCAAACAAATTAAAAACTCAACCTCAATTAAAAAAATAAAAAAAAACTCTTAAAATGGATACTCAACAGATTAATAACAAAATCAACAAGCGAAGAAAAAATTAAAAAAAAATTAAAAAAAGAAAGAAACAAACCTGGAAGAAAATCAAAGCGAAACTTAAAAGTGAGAGGAAAAAACAGAGGAGAGAGAAAGTGAAATAATGTTAGTTGAAAAGTCTAGTATAAAGAAATGAGAGGAGAAGATGAAGATGTTACTCCTAATTGATAAGAGAGGAAATTGTTTGATTGTGGTTTAGCCGTTAACAGATGTGGGGACCACTTCGATAAATCAGAGGGTGGAAAATGGTTATTAATTTAACGATGTGGATTAAAGACGAGTAAAATCGACGGCTGAGATATTGTAAAAGTGGAGAGAGAAAGTCACGTTTATTTTTAACTGTGTGTTTGTGCGCGTAGAGTATTCTAGTTTGTACTAGAAAGTTAAAAATGGTAGTGGAAAATACTTGGTAGGAAATAAATATCCATCATTTTTTTAAAATTATTTAAGAAAATAATTAAACACGAGAATTATGAGGCTGCCAAATATGACCAAGTTACGCGGTTTGTTTGTTTAGGGTTTGCTTATTTGAGGTTCAAATGTTGAATGCTTCATAAAACGTGGGCTTGGACCAAAACAAGGGGCTGGCTTAACTTTATAAGGTGCTAAAATTGTGCCTTAATATTTTGGCCTTTTTATGTCTTAAGACTCTTACCAAATGCCAAGTGAAATATTGTTACTCTCTCCATAGTTATTTAATTGTTTCAATTTGACTGATATACTTATCAATGAACAAATTTGATTAATGATGTCTTTGATTATTAATAAGTATAGATTAGAATAAATTGATATTTGAAAATTATGTTTTAAGACGATTCCAACCAAGTACTAATTGATTGTATTTTATCTAACATATTAAGCACAAATATTGGTCAAAACGATGCATATGATAGTGCCAAAGTCAGATTGAGGCACTTAAATAAAAACAGAGGGAGTATTCAGTTATTAGGATGTGTGGTTTTTCGAATATTCCTTCTATTTCTTAATAAAAGTCTCATACTAGTGTTTGCACTATTCGCATACTATCATATATGTAGTATTACTTTGGCTTTATACAAGAATTTAATAAATGTGTTAAGGGAGACAAATTCACCTTATATTTGGTGTGACATTTTCAAAACTTTAGACTAATATTTTATAAGAAAAGAAAATTAGGAGCTGAACTAAATTGAACTGAATTGAACTGAAATGAAAATAAACATATGAGAACAAGCCCTAAGACTAAAAATACATATCTTACTTTACGGATGTGTTCTATTCACCTGATTTTTACTTATTTGAACTTATTAGAACTTATTTTAGTTATAAATTAAATTTAATAACCCTGATTAACCCTTATCATAACTTATTTTTCCAGAATTTATTGGACTTATCATCTAAAATAAGTGAAAATAAGGTGAATAGAACAGACCTAAATTTTTAGCCCAAAATATAAGACTTCTCGGAAAAATTCTTAGAGCTATTATCCTATATGTGAAACCCATTGCGTGTCGTCACACAAACATAGTAGTGTTACTGCTACGCATCACACCCAATATATACCTCTTCTTCAATAGTTTCTTATCTCCATCAAAAATGTTCCTACTTCCTAGTTTAAGAAGAATATCTTAGTTATTTTGCCTTTTTTTTTTTTTTTTTTTTTTTGGTAATATATAAATTAGTTTAAATTCTCTAAAAGCCATAGCTTTAACAGCCTATATTATGAGAATAAAGGAATTCATTTCAAAAACCTTTCTTTTAAGAGTTTTAAGTTTTTAACCATACATTATCGAGCAATACATTTAGGTGAAAGAAAATCCCGACACGTAATAGCTAAAAAGATACTCCGTAATTTTCATAACTTAGCGTAACAATTTAAACTGTTTGCTGTAACTATTAATTAAGAGAGGAAAAAAAAGTTGTTAGTTTGGTCAATCCCTTAATGTTATTATCATAATGCGCACTTTCAATCAATTCATGTTTGACAAGTGCCTGCTTTTTTGTAAGGTTATTCAGTTAGAAATTCATAATATGAGAATGCTTAGCAAGAAATTCATCTTACTAAAAACTTTGTACACTTTTGCCTTGCCTTTGTAGACAGCCGTCAAGAAAACTACTTTTGCTAATTATATACAAGGAAAATATAAATTACGAAGTATTATGTAAATTTAGTTACAAACGTGTTTGGATCATTGGATAAACGCGTAGACAATTATTCTATATAATAATAAGAATTTTTTTTTATTTTTTTTTAACAAGAATACAATAATTAGATTGTATACTATACACTAATTTTTCTTCTATGTAATTTTCAATTTACATATTTGATCATCAATTAATATGTACTGAAGTTATACGAAATATATTTTATGACCCTTAGATGCATCCCTTACCATTTCGAACGTTATGGACACAAGGTCCTGAAATCACCAAAATTGGTCCAAAAGCATAGATTGTAACCTTCAATTTTAAACAATTTATGAATTTTTCGCTTGGAAAGAAAATAGGTTAAGGTATTTTACATGGACTCCATGGCATTACACATAGGGAGGCTAAATGGTGGCTAGAAGCCTAGAACAGTCCATTTTGCCTTTAAAATGTCTATTTAGCCTTTTTATGTACATGCATCCCTTGATTAACTCAAGACCACAACAAGCATTTATATGATCAATTAGTGTCACTTATGGTTCCAAACTACATCATATGACCCTAAGATACATCCCTTACATACCATCCTACAAGTTTTTGACACCAGAGTCCAAAACCTTCAAAAACGGTCTAAAAGTATGAATTATAACCTTTAGTTTTGGACAATTTTTGACATTTTAGGACTCAAAAAGAAATTAAATGAGGGTGCTTCCACGGACCCCTCAACATCTCGAATATTCATTTGGGTGAAAAGAATTGTTTACTTTGCCTTTAAACTATGAATTTGTTGTTTACGTATATGCTTCCTCTCATTGACAACACGAACAATTATGCGACCAACTAATTATCGTGTATGGTTCCAAATAACATTATATTACCCCGAGACGCATTCCCTATGATCACCCGGGTTCTCGACACCGAATCTTGAAAGTTTCGAAATTAGTCCAATTTTGTGTAAACTATTACATTTGGCTTCCGAGGAACATTTTTGGACCTAACAAGATTATGCCTTTGAGGTGCTTACTAGAGTTCCCAAAGGAGCTCTCTCAATCATGCCTTGGCCTGGCCAACTTTATCATCATGTTTTAAGATGTCTTCCCTTACCTTGCCTAGTTGCCTTGGACCACACTTATGCCTCCTACTTAGCAATTTTAAGAGATTATATAGGTGTTTTTAGGGAATAGGCGGACTTCATTCTAGTTTAATTAATCCTATTAATGGGATAAATTGGTCTTGTTTGTGTTTCGTAAAATACTAGCCAACTTCTGATGTGATGATCATTCTAACTTGTGATGGGATGATCATTCTGCATTGATCTAAAATATTACTATAATGCCAACATGGTGAATTATGAAAAGAAGATAATGTTCCGTGTACTAGTAAAGATACTTTGAAAAATTCTAGACAAAATGAGAAATGAAGTACGTAGTAATTCTTTGGCAAGATCTATGACTTGATTCAGCAACTCGATTCCAAATATCCCCGTCGATTCAAAGTAGGAAATTTCACATAGATATATACGAAGTATAATTTGATTCAACGATTTGATTCTTAGTAGCCCCATTATATCACGTTAATTACGACGCGTTGAAATAAGTATAAAGCCACTTAAAAGACGGAGGGAGTACACTAACCAACCAACTCATGCTACCTAAGATGCAAAAATGCACGTCAAGTCAAGCTCATTTTGCAGCATCAACAATTCAACACAACATTTCAATAATAAGATAGAGTAGTTAAACATACTGTCAGAGATATTGTTTTGAAGAAATGATACTGTATTTGCATGGTTGAGCCTCCATTAAAGTATAAAAATAGTACATCCGCTGTTTTCGGAGACCAGTTTCATGGCAACTTGGTACCAACAAGTACCAATCAGATTTGAATACCATTAAAAGCTTTCACATGCTACTGTCAATGCAAAGAAATTCAAAATGTGTGTATACTGGTAAGTAATCAAGGCATCCACATGCTAATATGGTAGTTTTTAACTACTTTCCTATTTAGACAAACAGATTCAGCTAGCTGTACCAGCATTAACCTATCTCATCTCTTTCTACAAAAGGCGAAACAGTATACGGTATAACTAAAAAGAAAGAGTAATCCGAACTAGTTAGGCAACTAACAGAGGGAAAAACACGGTTCATGAACGGATTGTAGTTACTATTGAAGCTAAGGGGCAATCTTGACATTTCGCTCTCTATGTGGAGCCAGGAGGAAAAGAAAGTCAAAGAACCCACCAAAGTTGCCAACTCAAAAGACTAAAGGCAACCTATAGGAGTTTGTGCTAAAAGGATAGTCATGGAAGCATATAACAAAACATCATGAGATGAAGGACAAAGGACAGACATCCCAGAAACTGCCAAAAGCCAGTTTGGAAGCTTACCTTTGATGTTCAAGGTGGTGGCGCTGGCACCCGGAAGATGAAATAATTTTTCGGGTCCCTGGACAGATCATGTTCTGGCATCGATAACGATATTCAGAAGCATGGCCACATATAATTCTGTAGAACGTTAAGTTCCTCAGCTTGCTGGTACAGCTGAACTAAGGAGTGCCCACCAAGTGAGAAAAGGCAAGAGTTTGTGTATTTAGGCAACATCACAGTATTAACTAGTTCAAATGGTCCACACAGTAACAAACCCCTTAGTAAGGCACTAAACACTTAAATAAGGTTGATCAACCATAGAAATGCATAAAATGACAATGTCATGGATCCATCCGATAAGATGTGGACTTTTATCTCAAATTTAATTTAATTAATGCATTCAAATGTTTTGTGAAAAGGAGAAATATTGTGGACATTAATTCTTTCCATAATGAAATTTATTCAACTAAAAGAAAAAGGTCTAATTTTACAAATGGGTCCTAAACAGCTGGCATGTTTTCCTTTATAAAAAATGGGCGAAAATTGAATGAATAAATAGGTATAATGTGGACTCAAATATATTACTTTGTAGAAAATAAAGTTACAGGGGTGAGAAAATTGAGGTAATATAATCAATGGATAAACTGAGCTTCTAGAATTCAAGTGTAAAAACGAATGCAGACGGTACCCATTTA